CACAATAGCCAAACTATGGAAGGAACCTAGGTGTCCATCAACAGATGAATGGATAAAGAAGATGGGGTATATAAATAATGGCATACTATGCAGCCATCCAAAGAAACATGCCATTTGCAATGACATGGATGGAACTAGAGGGTATCATGCTAACTGAAATAAGTCATTCAGAGAAAAAAATATCATATGATCTTTCTGATAGGAATTTGAGAGGCAGGGCAGGAGTCATGGGGGCTAGGGAGGGAAAAAATGAAATGCGATGGGATTGGGAGGGAGACAAACCATAAGACAATCTTAATCTCACAAAACAAACTGAGGGTTGCTGGGAGGTGGGGGGGTTGGGATAGGGTGGCTGGGTTATGGACATTGGAGAGGATATGTGCTATCATAAGTGCTATGAAATGTGTAAGCCTGAAAATTCACAGAACTGTACCCCTGGGGCAAATAATACATTATATGTTAATTAAAAAAATGGAAAGAGTACCTTCCAGATTTTTTTTTTTCAAAGAAGACAAACAGATGGCTTGTAACAGGTACGTGAAACAGACCTCAACATTACTAACCAACAGGAATATGCAAATCAAAACCACAATGAGATATCACTTTACACCTGTCAGAATGGCTCTAATCAAAATGCCAAAAAAATAGGTGTTGTTGAGGAAGAGTAGATAAAGGAAACTTCATGCACTCTTGGTGGGATGGTCAGTTGGTAGAGCCACTGTAGAAAACCATATGGGTGCTTCTCAGAAAGTTAAAAATAAAAATACTGTATGGTCAGTAACTGTACTACTGGGTATTTAACTAACGAAAATGAAAACATTAACTTGAGAAGATACATGTACCCCTGTGTATTGCAGCATTATTTATAATACCCAAATTTTGAAAACAAACCCTGTGTCCATGTGCAGATGAGTAGATAAATGTGTATATACACATACACATATACATACACACACTCAACCATAAAAGAGTAAGATCTTGCTATTTGAGACAGCATGGATGGACCTAGAGAATATGCTGAGTGAAGTAAGTCAGACATAGATAAATACGTGGAATCTAAAAAACAAAAAGCAGAAACAGAACCATAATTACAGAGAAAAACTGAGGGTTGCCAGAGGGTTTGTGGGTGGGGGATGGGCAAATGAGTGAAGGGGGAGAGGATGATACAGGCTTCCAGTTACAGGGTGAAGAAGTCATAGGATGAAAGGTATAGGGAATCTAGTCAATGATATTGTAATAGTATTGTATGGTGATAGATGATAGTTATAGTTGTGTGTCAACTATACTTCAATTAAAAAAAAACAAAACACTGAGATATTTGTGCAAGTACAAAGAGACCAATGAAGTAAAGAGCCCAGGAACACTCTCTCTCTATATATATATACTATAACATTTACAAAATAGTACTGCCTTCCCCACCAGAATGGCTAAAATGAAAAAGAGAGACCTTATCATACATCAGTGAGGATGGAGCAAGCTCTGCTGTTATGGACAACTGGTTAGAAGATAAACTGTTACAACTCCTTAGGAAAACTGGAAATAGCTACAGTAGGGGAGTACATTTTTCCATCATTAAGATGCATCTTTGGGATGTGGAGAAAGGGGAACCATCTTGCACTGGTGGGTTGATGGGAATGCAAACTGGTGTAGCCACTCTGGAAAACAGGATGGAAGTTCCTTAAAAATTTTAAAATAGAAATACCCTATGACCCAGCAATCACACTACTAGATATTTATCCAAAGAATACAAAAATACTTCTTTGAAAGGATATGTGTACCCTAATGTTTATGGTGACATTATCAACAACAGCCAAATTATGGGAAGAACCCAAATGTCTATCGACTGATGAATGGATAAAGAGGTGGTGTATGTGTGTATATGTATGTATATATGTGTGTGTGTAACACACACATACACACACACACACACACACACAATGGAATATTACTCAGCCTTAAAAGAAATCTAATATTACACCAGTGTATGTTAACTGGAATTTATTTATTTATTTATTTATTTTTAAAGATCTTATTTATTTGACAGAGAGAGAGCACTAGCAGGCAGAGCAGCAGGTAGAAGGAGAGAGAGAAGTAGGCTCCCTGATGAGCAAGGAGCCTGATGTGGGACTTGATCCCAGGACCCTAGGATCATGACCCGAGCTGAAGGCAGACGCCTAACCAACTGAGCCACCCAGGCGTCCCTGTTAACTGGAATTTAAGTAAAGACTTTAAAAAATAAGAATATATAAACTTTATTTAAAAAAATATATGCCTCTTTGGCATACTGATTATTCTAAGCTAGTATTTTCTAAAAAACTGTAGACACAGAATATCTCCGAAATCCAAGTTTCTCTTCCGTAAGAGACACTTCCATGTATAGGGGAAATCTCCATTTGTAAGGGTATCTCCTTCAGTATCCTGAAGAAGGGAGTGGCTCTTAGATGCTTAGAAACTGCTATCAGTGGAGAGGCATGAACTTAAATCTGCATGACAACTTTAGCCTTATTTATTTATTTATTTATTTTCCTTTATGGTAACCTCCCATAACTGATCCTCTACTTACACCATCTTCTTTTGTCTTTAGATGGAGATGGTATTTAAGGTGATGGCTTCAGGTAGTTTGGTGAGATACTCAGTTTTTCTGGGTCTCTCCCGTATATACAGAATATATATATATATATATATATATATATATATATATATATATAAAATTAAATATATAATATATATAATTAAACCATGTTTCATTTTCTATTAATTAGTCTTTTTTTCCCTTGAATTTTTTTTTAATTTAAATACAAATAGCCAACATATAGTACATCATTAGTTTCTCTATTAATGAGGTGTAAATTTGATTTTTAGTCCTGGTGGAAAAACCTTGAAGGATAGAGGAAAAATTTTTTCTCTCCTATACTACTAAAGCTGAATGTACAAATATATCCTGTGTCTCAGCAAATCCACTTTTAAGCGTATACCCAGTATATCTGTGTATATATCTGTTGAGAGACAAACACAAGTACATTCATAGCAACACTATTCACAATAAGCCCCAAACTTCAAAGAACTCAAATATCTGGCATAGAATGAATAAAATTGTATATATTCATCTGTTGGATTATTATTACATAGCAATAAAAAAGAATTACAAACATTTACAATAATATAAAAGAACTTCATAAAGTTGAGTGAAAGGAGTCCAAAACAAAAGAATAATATATATTTTACTTATTTAAAATTTGAAAGAAAGGTAAAGCTAATCTATAGTGTTGTAAGTAAAGACAGTTGGGCTGGGATACAGTATCTTAAAGTGGATATGAGAGGCCATGCGTGGTCCTGGTAATGTATGTTACTTGCTTTGGATAATGGTTATAAGAATGTTTACTTTGTGAAAATCAGTTAAGTCAAGTTTATGATTTGTATGCTTTTGTGTATGTATATTATATTACAATAAAAAGTTTAAATAAAAAACTTTCAAATTGTTCAGCCACCCAGGTGCCCTTGAAATACTTCAACTTGAATACTCTTGCTATTTTACACAATATATCTTCTTGCTTGCATCAAAGAACACTTTTGAAAGCCAAAAACTTAACTGCTTTCAGAAATGTTTGAGAGAACAGAGTTGAACCAAATTGAAGAAACTTGAGAGAAAACTAGCTTTCCCCAGCATGATGTGGGCTATATGGAAGAACTAGACAGAAACTACCATTAAGAAACTAGAGATTCTTTCCTAATTCCTTTTCTAATTTTGAATGGGAGTCACCCCAGTTTTCTAGAATAAAAGTGGAGTAGAACATCCATCTGAATTTTCACCTCTTGATAGTTACTGTTGTGACTGAATGGTATCTTTGTTAAGGGAAAGTAATCAAGGTCAAAGGGTAAGGCCTGAAAAAAAGGCTGAAAAGTGGGGAGGAACAGGGCTTCAATGAAGAAAGATATTTGCCAGAAATGAGGCAGGGCTCAAAAAGGCTCTTTGGCTAGGAACTATCAGCTGGCTATAGTAATCCAATCAAAGCATTCACAGGGCACAGAAAGCATACTGGTGAATAGTGGAGTTTCTTAATTTTTCTGAAATTGTGTGATAATTTCTTCACCTTCCTTTTCACCCTTAGTAACTTTAAATAGTTTTAAAATGCAAAACCTCCATTGTTAAAGAGAAGCTGACAACTGCTCCTTTTGGATGCCAACAGCATTGTAAAAACAAAGATGATCAATCAATAGAGAGGCTTGTTTTAATAATTTGAGGCAAACTTACAAAGTAGAAATCTATTAAAACTCCATTTCTTAGGAGTTCCACAGAGAAGTGAATTAGATTACAATTCTGAGGGTCCTTTGCCTAATCTAGAAATAGTAAATACCAGGAAGAATAGGAATTGGAAAGTCCAGAGATCAATAATTCCAGATTTAGTCACACTAGACAAGCTAAGTTTAGAAAAAGGAAGCTCATGTTGCTATTGTAATAGTTTTTAAAACTTATCATTTTTATATATAATAAAGTTTTGAGTGGACCTTTAGATTAAATTTAGGTTTCTGACTGGTGGTCTTTGGAAGACTACACTGTAAAATGACTAGTAGCTTCTAAAAGAAAAGTCACCCATCAAACCTAAAATTCCATGTTAAATACTTTGATATAGGACAGAATTCTTTTGAGATATGACATGTCTATGTGTATAAATAACTATATAGATTTCTGTGTTGGCTAACATTAATAACTGCACTTACGATAAATTCTTCCCCCAAAGTCTTATAAAAACAGTGCCTTTTTGACTTTTTGCTAAATGGTGAGTAATCAGTGATTATTAATTCTATTTCAACACAGTTCCCACTTACATATTCCATATTGTACTATTTACCCAGGCTTAATTCTTTTTTAAAAGTCACTTTCTTTACAAAGAAAGCAATTCAAATTAACCAACTGTGCCTTACAAACATAAATATAAAATGATACTGAGTAAGTATTGATTGAAACAAAAAGCATTTAAAAAACCAGCATTAATTCTTACCAACTCCAGAGGTTATTGATTCTGCATCAATGTCACTAGCTCTTTTTCTTGCCACTTCAGCTAGTGCCAATTCACCCTTATCTAGTGCAAAGTAATGGATATCCTTTGGAAATAAAGCAAAATAAAAGATTAATCCAAATGAATGTTGGTCAGGTTACAAAGAAGATTTTGAACAAAAGAGCTTACTGTTCCGATTACAAAACAGACATGGCTGATGAATAATTTTTTGTGTTTTAATTCTCTCAGTTTTCTTTTCTAGTATAAGCACATTTTCTTAAATTGTAGATTATAACTATACCTAATAGCATTACTTAAGTAAGTTATTTTAATTCTTCAGGGAAAAAGACAAGTTTTTAAACCAAAGGTTTGACATACTCAGTTTTGTCAGGAAATAAAAACATTTATTGCTATGTTCTTTGGTGAGATTTTAATGTCTAAGATGACTTCTTCAAAATTAAATTATATATCATATTATGATAAGCATTTTGCAAGAAATACAACTATACAAATTTGTCTCTGATATTTATGTATCTGGCACATGCTATTTTGTTAACATTATTCATATTACTAATCTTGAACTCTTACAGTCAACAAATAATCAGCGCCTACTAAGTGTTAGGCATTGTTCTGGGATATAGGGGTCAATTACAGTTCCATGTCTCAGGAAGCTGTCAATCCAGCGGGAAGACAGACCATTGTGAACAACAGTTAATTACGTCATGTGTGATAGGTTTTATAACAGATATTTGCACAGATATTTGCTCTGGAGCTAAAGAGAAGGAATTGGTCCTTGATCTGGGTCTTGAAGGACAAATAAAGGAAAAATAGAGAAAAAGGGACAGAATTAGTATCTGGTGCATATATATACAGAAGATTAAAAAACAGTTCTGCTAGGCAATGGTATATCTTTGAATATGGAAGGAGTCTTGGACTGGATGTGTGGGAGAAAGCAGTGTAAAATAATACTAAAGTAGGTATAGCCACTAAAAACTATTTTGAACTATTTTTGGTGTGCAAAAGATTGCTGGAATACTAGTGCAATAAAAATGGAAAAAGGGGCACCTAGGTGGCTCAGTCAGTTAAGTGTCTGACTCTTGATTTCAACTGAGGTCATGATCTCAGGGTTGTGAGATTGAGCCCCACATTGGGCTCTCTGCTCATTAGGGAGTCTGCTTAAGGTCTCTCTTTCCTTCTCTCTCTCTCTCTAGAATAAATAAATAAATCTCTAAAAAATGGAGAAAGAAACCAGTTTACAATGAAGAAATACAAATGGCCTATACTCAAGAGAGGTATTTCACTTTATTAATATTCAAATAAATGCAATTGAGAAAGTGTGATTTCAAACTGTTTAAGTTTTTAAAAGTTCAGAATATTCACTGGTTGCAGAGACTTCAGGGAAGATGGCAGAATAGGAGGATCATAAGCTCACCTCATCCTGTGAATACAACTAGGTAACATCCCCATCAGTGTAAGTAACCCAGGAAATGATCCAAAAACTGGCAGACCAGACTCTCTACAGGTAAATGCAGAGAAGTCACATTAAAGAGGGCAGGAAAGGTGGAAATGCTGTCAGGAACCAAATGGACCCACAGGACTGTCCCCAGGAAGGAGGGACAATGCAGATGTGGAGAGGAGAGAGAAATAGACCCCAACATCATACACAAGAACAAGACAGAATCACAGTGAGAGCTAAATGAAATGGAGATAAGTAATATACTTGATAGAGAATTTAAAGTAATGGTCATAAAGATACACTCACTAGACTTCAACAGACTTGAGAAGAGTAGAACTCAGTGATACCTTCAAAAAAGAGAGAAAACAAAAATCCAATGAGAGATGAAGAATTCAATAACTGAAATAAAAAAAAAATACACTAGATGCACTAAAGAGCAGACTAGTGGAGGTGGAAGAACAGATCAGGAACCTGCAGGAGATAGTAATTGAAAGCAATCAAGCTGACTAGAGAGAGAGGGGAAAAACTAATGAAAATAGAAAAATGGAAGTCAACAACCTCATCAAACATAATAACATTTACATTATAGGAATCCCAGAGGAGAAGAGAGAGAAAGGGGTCAAAAATTTATTTGAAGAAATAATAGCTGGACACTCCCCAAATCTGGGGAAGGAAACAGAAATCTAGATTCAGGAGGCACAGAGATTCCCCCCAAAACTTAACCCAAAGAAGTCCACATCAAGACACATAGTAATTAAAATGGCAAAAATAAAATAAAAATAAAATAAAATAAATAAAAGAATTTTAAAAGCAGCAAGAGAAAGCAGTTACATACAGGGGAAATCATATAAGACTATCAGTGATTCTTCAGCAGAAACTTGTAGGCTAGAAGGGAGTGGCATGATATATTCAAAGTGCTGAACAAAAAAATCCTGCAGCTAAGAATACTCTATCCAGCATAGCAATCCTCATAATAGAAGTAGAAACAGAATTTCCAAACAAAAATTAAAGGAATTCATCACCCTAAACCAGCCCTATAAGAAATGTTAAAGGGAACTCTGAGTAGAAAGGAAAGAACACAGGCAAGAGAAAGAAAAGTAGATAGCAAAAAGGCATTAAAATTAAAAAATCTATAAAAATCAATCAAGGACCTCAGAATAAAAGGATGTAAAATAGGGCACCATATACATAAAATAGGGATGGAAAAAGAGTAAAAATGTAGTCCTTTTAAAATGGGTTCAAACTTAAACAACCATCAACTAAACAGAAATACACAAAAGATGTTAAATATAAACATAATGATAACCACAAATCAAAAACTAGCAATAAAAAATGTGGAAAATAAAGACAAAGGAATCCAAATATATAGCTAAGAAAGCAAGCAAACCATGAGAGAGAGCAAGAGAACAAAGGAACAGAGAAGAACTACAAAAATAGCCATAAAAAAGTAATAAAATGACAAAAAGTATCAATAATTACTTTGAATGTAAATTGACAAAATGCTCCAATCAAAAGGATGGAATGGATAAAAAAGCAAGGCCCATTTATATGCTGCCTAGAAGGGACTCCTCTCAGACCAGAGACACATGCAGATTGAAATTGCAGGGATGGAAAAGCACTTATCATGCAAATGGATGTGAAAAAAAAGCCAAGGTAGCAATACTTATGCTGGACAAAATGGGCTTTTTTCTTTTTAAATAAAGATTTTATTTATTTATTCAACAGACAGAGAACACAAGCAGGCAGAGAGGCAGGCAGAGGGAGAGAGGGAAGCAAGCTCCCCGCTGAGCAGAGAGCCCGATGCAGGGCTCAATCCCAGGACCCTGGGATCATGACCTGAGCCAAAGGCAGAGGCTTAACCCACTGAGCCACCCAGGCGCCTCACAAAATGGGCTTTAAATCAAAGGCTGTAATAAAGGAAAAAGGACACTGTATAATCATAATGGGAATAATCCAAAAAGAAGGTATAATCATTGTAAAATTCACACACCCACCACGGCAGCACCTAAATACATAAAGCAGCTAATAAACATAAAGGAAATAATCGATAGTGATACAATAATACAAGAGTACTTTAACATCCCATTTACATCAATGCGTAGATCATCCACACAGAAAGTCAACAAGGAAACTGTGGTTTTTAATGACACACTGGACCAGATGGATCTAACCGATGGATCTGGACCAGATCTATTCAGAACATTCATTCTTAAAACAGTAGAATACACTTGTTTCAAGTGTACACAGATTACTGTCCAGAACAGATCACAAGGTTAGGCCACAACAATTTCAACAAATTCAAAAAGATGGAACACATATTATGCATTTTTTTTCCTGACCACAATGTTATGAAACTAGAAATCAGACACAAGGAAAAAAACTTATCAAGAACACAAATACATGGAGATTAAATAATATGCTATTAAGCAATGAGTGGGTCAACCAAAATATCAAAGGGGATATAAAAAATTACATGGAGACAAATGAAAAAGAAAATAAAATTCCAAAACCTTTGAGATGAAGCAAAAGCTCTTCAAAGAGGGAAGTTTATAGCAATACAGGTCTAACTCAGGAAGTAAGAAAAATCTCAAATAAACAACCTAAACTTATACTTAATGGAGCTAGAAAAAGAAGAAACAAAGCCCCAAACAGCAAAAGAAAATAATACAGATTAGAGTGGAAATAAATGAAACAGAAACTAAAAAAATAGGTTAACAGGTCAATGAAACCAGGAGCTAGTTCTTTGAAAAGATCAACAAAATTGGTAAGCTTTTACCCAGACTCAGAAAAGAGAGGGTTCAAATAAAAAAAAAAAAATCATAAGTGAAAGAGGAGATAACAACCAACACCAAAGAATAGAATTAATTATAAGAAAACATGATGAAAATTTTTATGCCAACAAATTGGGCAATCTAGAAGAAATGGATAAGTTCTTAGAAACATATAATCTTCCCAAGGTCACGCAGGAACAAACAGAAAATTTGAGTCAACCAATCACCAGCAATGAAAATAGAATCTATAATCAAAAAACTCCCAAAAGGGGCACCTAGGTGGCTCAGTGGGTTAAGCCTCTGCCTTCGGCTTGGGTCATGATCCCAGGGTCCTGGGATCGAGCCCCACATTGGGCTCTCTGTTCAGCAGGGTGCTTGCTTCCCCCTCTTTCTCTGCCTGCCTCTCTGCCTACTTATGATCTCTCTCTCTCAAATAAATAAATAAAAATCTTTAAAATAAAAACAAACAAAAACTCCCTTGAAACAACAGTCCAGGACCAGACAGCCTCACAGGTAAATTCTACCAAACATTTGAAGAAGAATTAATACATATTCTCTCAAACTATTCCAAAAACAGAAGACTAAGGAAAGCTTCCAGATTCACTTATGAGGGGCCCCTGGGTGTCTCAGTCATTAAGCATCTATCTCCCTTCGGCTCAGGTCATTATCCCAGGGTCCTGGGATCGAGCCCAACAACAGGCTCCCTGCTTGGTGGGAAGCCTGTTTCTCCCTCTCTCACTCCTTCTGCTTGTGTTCCCTCTCTTGCTGTGTCTCTGTCAAATAAATAAATAATTTAAAATAAAAATTTCACTTATGAGATTGCTATTACCCTGATACTAAAGCCAGATAAAGACACTACAAAAAAAGAAAATCACAGGC